GACCTCCAGGAGTGAACTGGTCAACCCACAGGTCCTGGAGGTCAGCACCACTCACCAAGTTCGTAGAGAACGAGGGGAGGTGAAGACCTGACAGGGAGCCGGACAGGACCGCCGGACATGGCAGGACCGTGGAGGAGTGCGCAAGGACCGGACCCCCAGAGGGGTCTGCCAGGGAGACTGGAATCGGCCGACTGAGCGGCGTGAGGGTGGTGCTATAGCGAAAGGAGGAGCGGGAAGCACCTGAGTCAAGTGTGAAGGTGTACAAGGACTTAGCAGGCGCAGTACCAGAGAGAGCAGACTCACCAGCACCTGGAGCAGCACCCTCACCAGCACCTAGAGCAGGAGATGCACTAGCACCTAGAGCAGTAGCCGCACCAGCACCTAGAGCAGGAGACGCACGAGCACCCAGAGCAGCAACCTCACCAGCACCTAGAGCAGCGGACTCTATATCTGGGTCAGGCGGTACGCAGAGGTAACAGGCACCGTCAGCACTAGTTGGCGATGCATACATGGCAGTGAGAATAGCATCATAGTCAAGAGCAAAGATATCTACCCTCTACCTAAGCAGCTCCAGCCAGGTGGGGAGCTCAGCCTTGTTGCCAAACTCGGTACGCCAGGCGTCGCTCAGATGGGTGAAGCAGCGGGATTGTGTGTGACTAAGCGTCCCGCAAGCCTGACCAGCCCGATCACCTGTGCGAATGACTTACGGGTAGCGAACGGTACTCCGAGACCCTCTACTCTGGGCGTACCACTCGGGAAGTGTCTCGCGCGGGCGCCGCTGCAGCTGCAGCTGGCCACTGCCAGACGCTCCCAGCTGACCAGCTCCAGGGCAACAGCTACGACGGCTACCACCACAATCCCAACTAGCGTACCACTCACAAAGCTGCTGGGGCGTGAGTCTCGCACGGATGTCGCTGGAGCTGCATCTGGCCACCGCGAGTAGCAGCAGTAGCAGTAGTAGCAGCAGCAGCAGGAGGAGCCTAGCAGCAGTAATAGAATTAGCAGCAGTAGCAGCGTGGGCAGGGCGAGCGAGGCAGGCAGGCAGGCAGGCAGATGGCGCTGCAGCGCGCTAACAAGGCAGACACGCGGGAAGCGCGGTTAGGGCAGGTGCTCACCAGTGGCGGGAAGGGCAGGCGCATGACGGCGGGGCCACAACAGCGGCTGCACAGTAGGGCTGCGTCAGTTGCAAGGCTGGGGCCACGACAGCGGCAGGGCAGGACCGCGGCAGCTGCTGTAGGGCGGGGCCGTGTCGGTAGCAGGGCGGGGCCGTGTCAGCGGCAGGGCGGGGCCAGGCGAGGCCGCGTCGGCGGCTGGGCGGGGTCGCGTCGGCGGCAGGGCGGGGCCGTGTCGGCGGCAGGGCGGGTCCAGGCAGGGCCTCGTTGGCGGCAGGGCGACGCCGTGGCGGCGGCAGTGCGGGGCCAGGCAAGGCCGCGTCGGCAGTAGGGCGTGGCTGCGTCGGCGGAAGGGCGGGGCCGCGTCGGCGGCAAGGCGGGGCCGCGTCAGCGGCAGTGCGGGCCGCGACACGGTGGCAGGGTGGGGCCGCGTCGGCGGGGCCGCGACCTGGCTAGGCCGCGTCAGCGTCAGGGCAGGGCCGCGAAAGTGGGAGGGCGGGGCCGCATCGACGGCAGGGCGGGGCCGCGTCAGAGGCAGGGCGAGGCGCAACACGACGGCAGGGCGGGGCTGCGACCTGGCGGGGCCGCGTCGGCGTTAGGGCGGGGCCGCGACAGTGGGAGGGCGGGGCCACGTCCACGGCAGGGCGGGGCCACGTCCGCGGCAGGGCGGGGCCGCGACAGCGGCCCGGCGGGGCCGCATCGGCTGCAGGGCGGGGCCGCGCTTTGGCCTGACGGGCCTGCAGGGGCAGTTCGCGGGTCTGACGGACCTGCCGGGGCGGCTCGCGGGCCTGACGGGTCTGCAGGGGCGGGGCGCGGGCCTGACGGGCCTGCAGAGGTGGCTCACGGGCCTTACGGGCATGCAGGGGCGGCTCGCGGGCCTTACAGGCCTGCAGGGGCGGCTCGGTGGCCTTACGGGTCTGTACGCCGATGCGCGCGTAGCTAGGGCAACAGTAGGCAGCGCGAGGGCTGCAGGACGGCGCGCGAAGCGCAGCACGTCACAAGGCAAGGCAGGTGAAGGCTAGTGCAGGACAACACGTGGGGTAGCGCGGTAACCGTAGCGGTAGGTGGGCCCGGAAAAAAAGGACGGTCCTACGGACCTAGTGCTCTGAAACCATGTTAAAATGTAGTAGCAGGAATGGATGAACTATGAAAGAGTTGGGAACAAATGTGAAACCCTGATGGGGTTGTACCCTATGTTGGCTGTCAGAACATTGTAGCTTACTTGTTTGTGTAGGCTATAGTGGGGTATCCCATAGGGGGTACAACCCAATTAGGGTTTCCTATTTGTACTCACCTCATTCGTAGTCAACTCATTCACGTTTCTACTTTCACATGGAATCAGAGCAGGTCCCATCCTAGGGACTGTTCTCTAGGGCCCACCGAAGCGCGCCCCGAGGCGCGCGTTCTTTTTTTCTCGCGACCCTCCGTGTCGCCCTTCCCCTCGCGGCCCCGCCGCCTCCTCGACGCGGCCCCGCCGCCTCCTCGACGCGGCCCCGCCGCCTCCTCGACGCGGCCCCGCCGCCTCCTCGACGCGGCCCTGCCGCCTTCTCGACGCGGCCCCGCCGCCTCCTCGACGCGGCCCCGCCGCCTCCTCGACGCGGCCCCACCGCTTCCCTACCTGCGGCCGTCCCGCCGCCCTACCTGCGGCCGTCCGCAGCCCTGCCTGCGGCCGTCACCTACCGTATCGCGCACATGGCTCGTGTCGTGAGGGACATGGCACGTAATGGTGACAAGGACACTCACTCACCGCGCATGTGTGATGATATGCTGCTGGACGCTGAAACATGGCATGTACATCAGCAGCGCACGAATGAAGTCTCACCCCACGTTGCGGTGTGGACTTCAGGGGGAGAAGGAAATGGAGAAGATGGACACACTGCAAAGAAAGATCTACATGGACATGATGCAGCTGCTATGGTCGATGCAGCCAAAGGAAAAGGAGGTGCTGCAGCAAATGGCTTACCTGCAGCAAGCGTGTCTCTACTAGTGGAGGATGAAGATGGTGCTGGAAGCAAGGTGGGATATGCACCAACGGGCGTGCGCATGGTTGACCTGACGTACAAGGAACTTAAAAACATGACCAAAGACCCGCCTGCACCCACCAATGGACACGACATCACCTACAGCCGCATGTGCGGCGTCGAACCAATTCCACGTGAAGCAACATCTGCGTGTGGCCAGCAAGTCCATGGTGCTGGCGCAGCACTCACACAAGCGGGCTTCTCAAGGTGTGCTGCACAACCGAACATCACGTAGCTCCACACGCCTCACTCATGTGTTTGCACACGTGCATGATCACAAACACATGGGTGAGAGTGGGAGTGGGGTATGGAGCATTTATAAGCTGAAATGGAAAGTAGAAATTATTCTTCAGAAGTTCGTACAAAAGGTCACTGATGCTGCTGTATGAAGGATTACACAGTTACGAACAATATTGGATGAAGGACAGAAGCGTATGAGGACGTACTACAGTTGCAGATCTCAGTGTGCCAGCTTACCGTGGGGTAGTTGTGTCAGAATCCTAACCACTAGACCATTGAGATTAAAGGGTTTGTTTGTGTAGCGGGTCAGTACGCCCATAACCCCCAAGGCCAACGTGCCTGTAACCCTTCCCTAGGATCAATCGGGGATCACCAGTGGACCTCTGACACCCCCGCACTGGGATGCCCGAAGTGCTTACACCGGGAATCGAACCCGAGACCTTCGCTTTAATACCATGTCAAAATCTCAACCACTAAACCATTGAGATAAAAGGGCTTATTTGTGTAGCGGGTCAGTGCGCCCATAACCCTCCAGGCCAACGTGCTTGTAACCCTTCCGTAGGATCAATCGGGGATCACCAGTGGACCTCTGACAAGCTGCTGCTGATAGCTTACGCCACTCGCCAACAGTTGCTGCAATCGTGCGCCAGCTGCTACTGTCCACCAGCTGCCATTGGTTTCGTACACCTGCTGGTTTAAGGAGGAGTGCAACACGACAACGTGACTGACATCATGGCTGAAAATAGCATCATGAAGCAGAGTGATCAAAAATACAACACAAGCGGAGTGAGACGGGAATACATGCAGCTGATGAAGGAATACTCACTTGGTTTAAGGCGAAGGCAAGCAGTTGCTTGCCAGTGCTATTGGTGCACAAGGGCTGAAGCTGTAGGAGATGCAATTCTCGGGCTTCAACATAAGAATGAAGTCACAACAAGCTTCATCCAGGATGAGAATGAGCGGCGGGCAGAACGAGAAGAAAGCAAGCAAGCTACCCCAGTGATGGCAGAATGTATGAAGGGTTTTTACTCACAAGGCAGATGGAGCTGGAAAAGTGCAGCTGCAGAGAGCAAGGTGCTGCTTGTGCTGCCATGCTGATGCTAGGAGATGCAGTCGGCTGCTGGGCGCCACCAGCTGGAGCTACCGTCCGTTAGGAGGAGCTGCAGGGCATCAGGGGGAGCTGCAGGGCGTCAGGGGGAGCTGCAGGCCGCCAGATGCTGCTGGTGCCACTGCTCCCGTGCGCCTCCTGGTGTGGGGGGAGCATACCAAGACACCACAGGTCAAGCCATTTGTAGCTTCATCTAGGAGGAAAAGAAAGGCAAGCAGAATCAGAAGGGAGAAGGCAAGCTACTACTGCAGGGCTAGCAGATCATGAGGTTCCTCACCGTCAGGCGCTGCTGCATGATGACAGGTGAAGCTGAAGGCGGCCAGGTGTTGCTGCAAGCCACCAAGTGCTGCTGATCCTGCTGGGTAATACTGCTGCCGAGCACCAGTAGCTGCCGAGCACCAGTAGCTGCCGCCGAGCGCCACCAGCTGCTGCTGCGGAGCGTCAAGTGCTGGTGGTGGTGCTCGGGGGAGGGCCAGGTGCTGCCGCCGTTGCTCACCAACTGCTGCCACCGGGCATGTGCTAGTGCAGGGTGCCAGGAGCTGCTACTGCTGCTGTGCGCCACCTGAAGATATAAGAAGCACATGGGAGAAGTGTTTGAACTGGAGCAGCTGGTTAAGCAGTGTAAGGAGACTACAGTGGAAGGGCTACGTACTTGTTCAAAGGAAGAAGACTAAGGAGAATGAATGAAAGGTCACTCACCTATTCACGACGGAGAAGGCACGCAGCTGCCGCCATGCGCCACAAGGAGCTGCCGCCGTGCTGCCGGGCGATGGTGTTGCTGCCGCCCGCCAGGCGCTGCTGGTGCTGTTCCAGTGCATCACCAGCCGCAGCTGCTGCCCGTCACCAGCTCCTGCAGGGACAAGTGACACAAAGCAAAGGTTAGTCAAGTGATGTGAGCTCAATCAAGACGATTGAAAGGGACGACATCTACTCCTGCGTACCAGGGGAACAAAGGGTTTGACTCACAAGGAGGTGTGCTGTTGCAGCCCGCCGGGTGGTGATGATGCTACCGAGCGCCAGTCGCCAGTCCAGCAGCTGAGTGTCAGATGCTGCTGGTCCCCCTCGCTCGCTGGATGCTGCTGCCACTCTCCAAGCGCCAAGTGTCGCCGTGCAGATGCCACACACCCGCGCCAGGAGCAGCATGTGCTGCAGTCGTCGAGTAGCAAGAGCAGGTGGCCGCCGCCGATGCAGCAGCAGACTCGCGCCAAGTCGTCAGCGACTTCTGACGCGAGGCAAATCGCCGAATGAGGACAGAGCAGTCATGCGCAAGACGCTGCAAACGCTGCAGGAGCGCTAGGTCGTCCGCAGTGGCAGGAGGAGGTCGCGCACCAACAGCAGCGCGAAAGAAGAAGCAGCCGCACGACAGGAGAAGCAGATGCGCGCCCTGCTGCTGGAGTTCGAGCCATTATGCAGGGGGAGGCAGCGAGCCTTGCTGTAGACGACGTGCACTGGCAACAGCAGTTGCGCGACTGCAGCTTCGGACGCACGACACGCACTACAGGCGCAGCTCAAGTCGTTGCACGACAAGAGAAGCAGCCACGCGACAGGAGTCGCAGCTACGCACAATGCTGCAGGGGTTGCGACAGCCGCTGCAGTCGCCACCTGCAGCCGTTGTCAGTGCGTGGGCTGCTGAAATCGCGAACGTATCTGCTGCAGAATGTCGCACGTGCTGCAGTCGCGCTCAGGAGCAGTCACGCGCGACATGGAGCAGCACGCTCCGCGCAAGAGCGGCATGCTGCTGCTGAGGACGTATGCCAGCAGCAGTCGCGCGCCTGGGTGTTGCAACAGCACACGAAGCAGCTACGAATGGATTTCCTAAATGCGACTGGACGAAAATCAGAGAGTTTCGCCATAACTGAATGGAATTGGGCAGTAGCGGCAGCCATGGCTAGAGTTAACAACGCTCAGAAAACTGGATATGGGAAGGTCAACCGTGAGTGAACCTGATCTGTTGGAAACGAGAGTGACAAGCTAGAGAAGGAGCAGCAGCAATCGATCTGGGATAGGAGCGTGAGTCGTGACCCGATGTGAGGAAACCCTAAAGGCGGGGGGACGAGAACAGTATGGAGCGGAAGGTTGGTACTGTACGGAGGCAAGGAGCAACACAAGGAGCGGAATGTAAGGAATTTTGCTAATTCCTTACTGAGGCACCGCTTACGAGTACATTTCCAACTTTTCGGAGTTCAGGCTCGGTCCGACGACCTCGCCTCCCGAACGTCCTCCGCGTCGCCTTCGGGTTTTCCAAACCCAAACCTACACCCAACCCTCGCACGACTTCGTGACCTCGGGCCAGGGTCGTCGCTAGCAGAAATTTTTTGTCTGTTTGTCTTATATTCAGATCGAGTTTTTAGAGATCATCTGATTTTTCAGAAATTGGTTTTTGTAATTTCTGATTGGTAAGGAGTAGTTTTTAAGTTAATATGATCAATCAGGTTCATGTTTTGGTTTCATCTGATACCGAATCCAATTACTGCAGGGGTGAATATGGGATTCGAGTTGTGAATGGGTGAATCTGATGCGTCAGGGGTGAATCTGTTAGTGTCAGGGGGCGAATCTGCTGTGTCAGGGGCGAAATTGTTGTGACGGGGCGAATCTGCTGTGTCAGTGTGACAGCGAATCTGCTGTGGCGGACCGAATTTGCTGTGAGGGGGTGATTCTGCTGTGATTGGTCAAGTCCGAATCATTTGCCCATTCGATTGGCCAGACACGCATTTCGAAAGTATCTGATACATCAGACACGGTAAAAAACAGAATCTGATGCATCAGGCACCCTCAAATCCTAGCAACGTCCCTGCCTCGGGCTTAGCTAGCCTTGCTATATTATGCATAGGCCCCGATGTTTGCTCAGTAGTTGTAATCACTTCCACGATATTGCATTTTGCGCACTCTTCTTTCATAAAACTCATAACACCTGGTATCAGAGCTACTTTCCTAGGTTACCCTCCACTTTCCGGGGTAATTTAGTACGGGGGTGCGATAGGTTTGGTGGGCTGCAAAGCGGTCGGCTGAGAGATAGATACGATTATCTCGCTCCGACTAATAGCGTTTGCGCCTTCATCAAAACCAGAAAAATCGCTGTTAACCCCCTGCCCGTTAAACGAAGCCTACGACACATGGACCAGGCGGAGTTAAACGAGCTCATGCAACAGTTTCGGGCGCTGCAGGCCAACATGCAGACTATGTCTGGCGAGTTGGAGCGCCTGAGGGAGGAAAACGCCGAGCTACGCCAGACGCGAGGTGAAGCGCGTCAGGAGTCGCCCGCCGTGGATGAAGCAGGAAGCAGTTTCGTGCCTAACGACGAGGTCCTCAGCGAGCTACAGAACTCGCTGGACGCTGAAGACGAGCGGACAGCACGAACGCAACGAGCACAAGGGACGCAGGAGCAACAGTCACAGCCGAGGCAACAGTCGCAGACGACGCCACGACAGGCACCAGCGACAGCCCCGGTGATGGCTTCAATGGCGCCCCCGATGCATGCAGCAGCAACAGTCTCAACAACTGTTAAAATAAAACCGACGAACCCGCCCCCGTTCAACCCCAGCGACAAAGCCGTCACTGTGTCAGCTTGGTTGTTCGGTGTAGAGGTGTTTTTCAATGCTGCGCAAATTGCTGACGATGCTACCCGCATTAATTTTGCAGTGTCACTATTGCGAGGACCGGCATTGGAATGGTGGAAGCGGACTCTTCAGCCAGAGGGGGCTCCGGCAGGGATATCACGTGCGAACGACGGGACCTGGGCAGCTGTCACGCAACAGGCAACTTCAATCTTCGGAGTGGCCACGATACGCACATGGGCGGAGTGGGGCGCCGCGCTGCGAAGCAGATTTGAGCATGTATCCGCCTCGGATTCTGCTCGCATGAAGCTGCGTACCTAGAAGCAGGTGGCGTCGGTCCAAGATTACACGGCGACATTCTGCAATTTGGCTGACCAAGTGGACGATATGAGCGACGCGGAACGACTCGACCGATACGTCGCAGGCCTCAAGTACGACGTACAGTACGAGGTGCGACGGGCGAGGCCACGCGTATTTATCGAAGCCGTCCAAGTGGCCGAATCGACGGATGCGCTGATGCAATGGGCGAGAATGAGTTCCCGGGAGGGCACTCAATTTCGTGGACCGCCGCGCCAGCCCACAATCAACGGGGTGGATGCACCGAGGCGGGGAAACAACAACTGCTTCAACTGCAACCAACCGGGCCACTGGAAGAAGGACTGCCCGAAGCTGAAACAGGGAAACAGGAACGACGGAGAGGGGTCGGGAAAAGAAACGAGTCAGTAGCAGTCGGGCCACCTACTGACGAGACCCCGTCGCCCGGCAATCAACATCCACACCGAGTAGTGGTACCGATACGGGCTATCGGCCGCAACCGGACGAATAAGGTGGATGAACACGTGGATCACCCTGTGCTGGTCGTGGGGAGGATTAACGGGCATAAAATAAAATTATTCGTCGACGGTGGGGCGAGCCACAGTCTCGTCAGCCTGGCGACGGCCAAAAAAATCGGAGTCAAGCTGGACAGGTGTCTACCAGAGATTGATGCGCGATTGGTGGACGGAACACCGCTGGCGATCAAGGACGAGGTCCGACAAATTCGGATGAAGTGTGGCGACGATTTCGGGTTCTCCATGCGAATGCTGGCGACAATACTGGACGGTTGCGATGTGCTGCTCGGAAGGGATTGGCTGCAGCGTTTCAATCCGACCATCGACTGGACGACGGGAGCGATCACGGTGCTATGCAACAAGGGGCGCGTGACACTTCCGAAATGGGCGGAGCCGGAGCCGACGACAACACGTGTCAACGCGATAACGCTGAAGAGGGCGATAAAACGGGGAGCGCAAGGCTACGCCGTACAGCTGTACGAGGTGGTGGCTTCCGAAAAAATCGCCGACATCGACACGCTCTGCGCTGCTGTACCCGACGACGTGGCGAGCATAATTCAGAGGTACCCCGAAATATTCGCAAATGACCTACCTGATGGGCTGCCACCTCAGCGTCCGGAAGACCACAGGATTGAGCTGGAACCAGGCGCGAAACCAACCGTTCGGTCCCAATGGCGGCTCAGCCAACCGGAGCTCGACGAATTGCAGAAACAGTTGGATTATCTGCTTTCTAAGGGTTTTATCCGGCCGAGCACGTCGCCGTACGCCGCCCCGATACTATTCACACCGAAGAAGGACGGAGGCCTGCGCATGTGCATCGACTATCGAGCGTTGAATCGGGTCACAATCAAGTCGCGTTACCCGATCCCACGAGCAGACGACCTGCTGGATCAACTTCGCGGGGCTCGTTTCTTCTCGAAAATCGATTTGCGAGGTGGCTACCATCAAATTCGTGTGTTCGCCGACGACTGCCCGAAGACCGCATTCCGCACCCGCTACGGCAGTTATGAGTACACCGTGATGCCGTTCGGGCTGACGAACGCACCCTCGACTTTCCAGCTCACTATGAATGGAGTGTTTCGGGACATGTTGGATAAAAAAGCTATTGTTTACCTGGACGACATCCTGGTGTACAGCAAGACTCGGGAGCAGCATTTACAGGACTTAGACGAAGTGTTCCGACGCTTGCAGCAGAACCGGCTGATTACGAAGGGCTCTAAGTGCGAGTTCTTACGGTCGGAGCTGGAGTTTGTGGGGCACGTTGTCTCTGGGGAAGGCATTAAAATCGGCCCTCAAAAAGTAAAAGCGATTTTGGAGTGGAAGCCGCCCACGAACATCACTGAGTTGCAGAGTTTCCTCGGCTTCGTTAACTACGTCCGCCGTTTTGTACCCAATATGGCGGGGGTAACCAGGCCGTTAACCGATATCCTGCATAAGGGCGTGCAGTTTTTTTTGGGGGGAGAGAGAACAGCTGGCTTTCAACGAGTTGAAGAAAATTTTGAGTTCACCCCCGGTGCTTCGACTGGCAGATCCATCTCGACCGTTCGAAGTCGTGACGGACGCCAGCGATTTCGCTGTCGGCACTGTGCTATTACAGGACTTCGGCAACGGACTGCAACCCATTGCGTACGAGTCAAGAAAAATGCAGCCGCCCGAGCGCAACTACCCGGTTCACGACAAGGAAATGCTCGCCATCGTGTATGCGTTTCGAACATGGCGATGCTACCTCACGGGAGCGGATGTCACAATCCGAACTGAC